CTTACATAGCAATATACGATATCCCGGTATGCCAGAGGGATAACGTAAAAACTCCTATCATATCTACCTGACTTGCAGATTTATTTATTCATTTTTTCAAAATGTTATTATCCATTCCTTTTGCTGCTTGGATTTCAATATACATTGCAAAACGCTCGCATTTTTCATTAAAGTCATATTATTTCAAAATAACCAACAGTATCTGTGATAGCCATAAATCCCATTGAAACTAAAATCTCGAGAAAAAGTCCACATAGTATGCATAAGAAATTTGAATATCCACGGTAATTAGAGAAAGGGTTAAATTCTCCCATTTTCCGTATAATTACCCTCCCGTCATAACGGTTCGTTGATTAGACGAGATAATGTCACTAGGTGAATGGCATTTTCCCGACTTTTTTCATTTAAACTTAAATTGTATCTCTGCTACTCTTTGTAATCGGACTTTTCCACAATGGTGTCAGAACTGACGCGGGAATCTTCACCTAATGGGTTTATAATACGCCCTGTATCTGTAAATATATAGCTAGTCATTTTCGATTTTCCGACTTCTACGACGGCTCCTTTGCTCACTTGATAAAGATAGCACTGTATCGAAACGTCCCTTTACACCGAGCCCCGAAGTTAACCTGTTTATAACCACCGTCTATGTGACTCTAACCACAAATTACCTTCATAGTTTCTTAATACTCGGCCAAAGTCAACACGAGGTCAATGATTTATGACCTTGTCAACTCTACAAAAGTAATTATTAATAAATAAAAAAACAACAACAATGTACGTAATATTTTCAATATAAAACAAAATCAAAATCAAAATTAATTGTTATAAAACTACATGCGACGCCATACGTTGAGAATTCCAACCGTATAGGAAAACAATAAAGCGTTGTACAGGAACGGAAGCAATTCACGTTTCGAAAAGTGAAGCTAACAATTCATTGTATGCTAAAAGACGAAACACGGAAATGTGTCCAGACGTCAAGGTCCTGGATCAGGTTCCCGGGGAATTTAACAATTAAAATTATATTAAACTTTATGGCTAGTTTTCTACTATTAAGGATAAATGGTTCCTACTAACTTTTCATAATAAACACTAGTGAACGACGCCACTGAAGGAAGTCAAACAATAATAATAAAACATGTAATGTCGGCCTAAAACATGTAATGTCGGCCCAAAACATGTAATGTCGGCCTAAAACATGTAATGTCGGCCCAAAACATTAATGTCGGCCCAAAATATGTAATGTCGGCCCAAAACATGTAATGTCGGCCTAAAACATGTAATGTCGGCCTAAAACATGTAATGTCGGCCCAAAACATGTAATGTCGGCCTAAAACATGTAATGTCGGCCCAAAACATGTAATGTCGGCCCAAAACATGTAATGTCGGCCCATAACATGTAATGTCTGCCCAAAATATGTAACGGTATTTCTGTAAAAAAACCAACACCTTTCAAACAATTAATGCAGCTCATTCGATTTAAATAGTATAGATACATATGAAAGCAAGGTAAAACCTTACAACCCTTGGATTTGAAAGCAGACCTGTGCGACATTACACAAAGCAGACCTGTGTGACAATACAGAAAGCAGACCTGTGCGACATTATACAAAGCAGGCCTGTGAGACATTACACAAAGCAGACCTGCGCGTCATTACACAAATCAGGCATGTGCGTCATTACACAAAGCAGGCATGTGCGTCATTACACAAAGCATACCTGTGTGACGTTACACAAAGCAGACCTGTGTGCCATTACACAAAGCAGACCTGTGGGAAATTAAGCAAAGCAGACCTGTGCGACATTATACAAAGCAGGCCTGTGAGACATTACACAAAGCAGACCTGTATGACATTACACAAAGCAGACCTGTGCCACATTACACAAAGCAGGCCTGTTTGACATTACACAAAGCAGACCTGTTTGACATTACACAAAGCAGACCTGCGCGTCATTACACAAATCAGGCATGTGCGTCATTACACAAAGCATACCTGTGCGACATTACACAAAGCAGACCTGTATGACATTACACAAAGCAGACCTGTGTGACATTACACAAAGCAGACCTGTGCGTCATTACACAAATCAGGCATGTGCGTCATTACACAAAGCATACCTGTGTGACATTACACAAAGCAGACCTGTGTGACAATACACAAAGCAGACCTGTGCGACATTACACAAAGCAGACCTGTGCGACATTACACAAAGCAGACCTGTTTGACATTACACAAAGCAGACCTGTGCGTCATTACACAAAGCAGGTGAATATTTTTCAGATCAGGTCCGTAAATCAGGGATAGACCGAAGCTGAAGTCCACAATTGTTTTATTATATGACATTTTACAATAAGATTAATAAAAAAAATTGTCGTAAACAAATGGATGGCATGGACCATTTTGGAATCACAGATTGAAGGACTTCAAATACAAAATAACATACACAAAAATTGAATTTCACTTTCAATTCATGTGATATTTAATTTTAAGTCAATATTATTTGCACAATCGTCTTATTAATAATATTCACATAGTTCAGAATTTGATGAGATAATTAATTTGTTGTTGAATTCAGTAGTGTGATTGGTAACAGAATTACAATCTGGCTGGGAAATTACCTAGACCTATTTTTAGTAGCGGTCTGTTACACTTTTCTATTTATAGGTCGAGGTCTGTAACACTTTTCTATTCATAGAATGAGGTCTGTTACATATTTACAGACTCGTCACATGACGTCGCTCCTCCGATCAGGGCTGGGAATTAGCACCAGTCATATAATAATACACAAAGCAGACCTGTGCGTCATTACACAAAGCAGACCTGTGCGACATTACACAAAGCAGACCTGTGTGACATTACACAAAGCAGACCTGTGTTTTCTAGTAAACATACATTCATTCAGAACTTTCAAAACCAAATATACTGCGAAATTTTTCCGATAAAATGTAAGGGTCAACGATTTCACACACTTGAAGCTATAGTACAGAAGCACATTCCACTACTCAATACTACATTGTTTAAGAATAAAGGAAGCGTTACTCTCACTAAAATTGATATTCCCAGACCCTTGTAGATTACCACACGGTGTTATTAGGGTTTGTCGTGAGAACAATGTTTTCATCGCCATGAGGAAATTGTTCCCACGACAAACCCTGAAAACACAATGTGGTAAACTGTTTATCATCTATATACTACTATCTTATATATTTCTGCATTCATTAAAGATCAGCTAAACACCATGTCTTTTAAATGATTTCTAGGCTCGATGATCACTGAGAGCATCGGTATGTGACAAATATAAACAAATAGAAGATTTGCGCGGAAGAATATCATGGACCTTAAAAACTATGTAGAAAAATGTCATCATCATTTGCTTTCCCATGTGCACATCTATATACGCTTTAAAAGGCCAGTGTTGTTACCCTCACAATGTTTTTTATGGCTTTATAATTATTTGTTTATGACGGACTATTTTCTAACGCGGATCACCTTTGTGTGGATATTATTTCCGATTAAGGACGTCAACTGGCGCGAGCAGACCGGTGTTATCAGGGTTTATCGTCTTCTTTTTTGGAGAAAATGCGTTCACAATCCGATAAACTATATCTTTAATTCCATTCCGAGACTCTACGTCGTTGACTGGAGCGTATCGAGTATCGGAGTGGAATCAAAGATCTGGTTTTAATCAGATTGATATATTCTCAAATGGGAAAATCCATTCTCAAGTTGTTCTCAAAATTGTTCTAACGACAAATCCTGAAGACACAGCGTGATAATCAATATTTCTACAACCTTTCTAATCCGACATGTTTCTCATTCTCCTTCAATTCTCACAAGTTACTATTCTCAATCTATTTTTATTCTCAATCTGTTCCCACTCACACATCTTTACAACTTCACACCTTAATGACTGTTACACCTAACTAATCTCACCCTCTGCCATTCTACTGTTCTGACACTCCTTCGACTAATCCACAGACTAATCAAGAAATCAATGAAAAACTCTTTAACCCAGTGCTAACCGGAAGGCTGGGTCATTTCTGATATACTTTGGAGATTTAAAATAAGACGTTTTGTTCGGCGATTTTTCGTGCAGATGGACCTCCAAGGACCTTCAAGCTCGTAGTTATATGGCTATCATAGTTTTAAAATTCTTCTTTTTGAAACGTTTATTAAGACATAATTGACATCTTAGAGAAAAAACATTGATTTAACATCTTTACAAACAAAAATCGAGGTAAAAAATGTCGAACACTCATAATTCCTATTTTTAAATAGTTTGAAATAAAATAATCTCGTGACGTCATGCAATCTATATATATAGAGTATAATAGTCATTATTGCTAACCAGTGGTGTATACGTATATGGCTAGGTAGATACAGAGAGGAGACGACCTAACAATACTATCGGAAGATCCTTGTTATCTATCGATAAAACCGATCCCTGAGTCAGGCATGTACATCATGTTTAAAATAACCTCACGTGCATGCAACCGATTCCGAGGCTTTACGGGGTTACAACGATCACTATCTGTATGTCTATATCTAAAGTGACTCAATATTGCCCTTTTCTAATTTTAAAGTTCGTTTACATTATCTGTAAACAAAATGCTGATGCAGATTGGATAATACACCAGAACAGAAATGTTGTTTTATTTTAACCATGAACACTTGTTACTCCACATACAAAATAATCCCGATCCTTCTGATAGCGTTTTTCTAGTGTACGCTCCACGCTACAAGGATGGACCAGCTCTTCGACAGCATTTCCAGACCTTTCTTGTTTTCTGATTCATATCCTATTTCTGTCCGGTGCCTCCATGACTTAAGTATCTTGTTGACCTGGAATCAGTTTTTGAATGATACCAGACCTCACCTTGAAATATCATCCTTTATTGCTATGACTGTTGACTTTGTATAGGAACGAACGTACCCGAAAGGACTTTGAACAAACATCGTGTTGTGAAGAAAATTTAATAGATGAAAAAATCGAATATGAACACTCACACACAACAACAGGTTTTGGAAAAGGTAAGCCTCTTCTGCTTCACAGACAAAACCCGCCATGTAAATCTAAGTCAAATCCAAATAATGTCACGTCAAGTGGGAACCGCAGCAGTGACCACGGATCCACGAGTTTACTGATGACCACGAAACCACTAGTTCAATGATATGTACGGAGACGTCCCCCTAAACCACGAGTTTACTGATGAGCACGGAGACGTCCAATTAAACCACGAGTTTACTGATGAGCACGAAGACGTCCACCTAAACCACGAGTTTACTGATAAGCACGGAGACGTCCACCTAAACCACGAGTTTACTGATGAGCACGGAGACGTACACCTATTCCACGAGTTTACTGATGAGCACGGAGACGTCCACCTAAACAACGAGTTTACTGATGAGCACTGAGACGTACACCTACACAACGAGTTAACTGATGAGCACGGAGACGTCAACCTAAGCAACGAGTTTACTGATGAGCACGGAGACGTACACCTATTCCACGAGTTTACTGATGAGCACGGAGACGTCCACCTAAACCACGAGTTTACTGATAAGCACGGAGACGTCCACCTAAACAACGAGTTAACTGATGAGCACGGAGACGTCCACCTAAGCCACGAGTTTACTGATGAGCACGGAGACGTCCACCTAAACAACGAGTTTACTGATGAGCACGGAGACGTCCACCTAAGCCACGAGTTTACTGATGAGCACGAAGACGTCCACCTAAACAACGAGTTAACTGATGAGCACGGAGACGTCCACCTAAACCACGAGTTTACTGATAAGCACGGAGACGTCCACCTAAACAACGAGTTTACTGATGAGCACGGAGACGTCCACCTAAGCCACGAGTTTACTGATGAGCACGGAGACGTCCACCTAAACAACGAGTTTACTGATGAGCACGGAGACGTCCACCTAAGCCACGAGTTTACTGATGAGCACGAAGACGTCCACCTAAACAACGAGTTAACTGATGAGCACGGAGACGTCCACCTAAACCACGAGTTTACTGATAAGCACGGAGACGTCCACCTAAACAACGAGTTTACTGATGAGCACGGAGACGTCCACCTAAGCCACGAGTTTACTGATGAGCACGGAGACGTCCACCTAAACAACGAGTTTACTGATGAGCACGAAGACGTCCACCTAAACCCAAGTTAACTGATGAGCACGGAGACGTCCACCTAAGCCACGAGTTTACTGAAGAGCACGGAGAATTCCACCTAAACAACGAGTTTACTGATGAGCACGGAGACGTCCACCTAAGCCACGAGTTAACTGATGAGCACGGAGACGTCCACCTAAACCACGAGTTTATTTGTGAAAAGCACAAAGCCTAACAAATGTACCGGTGACGGCATTCTTATGGGAACTAACTGCGCTTCCTCCTGGCTGACCTTTGCCCCTCTCCTGGCTGACTTTTGTCCCTCTCCTGGCTGACCCTTGTCCCTCTCCTGGCTGACCTTTGCCCCTCTCCTTGCTGACCTTTGCCCCTCTCCTGGCTGACCTTTGCCCCTCTCCTGGCTGATCCTTGTCCCTCTCCTGGCTGACCTTTATCCCTCTCCTTGCTGACCTTTGCCCCTCTCCTGGCTGACCTTTGCCCCTCTCCTGGCTGACCTTTGCCCCTCTCCTGGCTGACCTTTGCCCCTCTCCTGGCTGACCTTTGCCCCTCTCCTGGCTGACCTTTGTCCCTCTCCTGGCTGACCTTTGTCCCTCTCCTGGCTGACCCTTGTCCCTCTCCTGGCTGACCTTTGTCCCTCTCCTGGCTGACCCTTGTCCCTCTCCTGGCTGACCCTTGTCCCTCTCCTGGCTGACCTTTGCCCCTCTCCTGGCTGACCTTTGCCCCTCTCCTGGCTGACCTTTGCCCCTCTCCTGGCTGACCTTTGCCCCTCTCCTGGCTGACCTTTGTCCCTCTCCTGGCTGACCTTTGTCCCTCTCCTGGCTGACCCTTGTCCCTCTCCTGGCTGACCCTTGTCCCTCTCCTGGCTGACCTTTGCCCCTCTCCTGGCTGACCTTTGCCCCTCTCCTGGCTGATCCTTGTCCCTCTCCTGGCTGACCTTTGTCCCTCTCCTGGCTGACCTTTGCCCCTCTCCTGGCTGACCTTTGCCCCTCTCCTGGCTGACCTTTGCCCCTCTCCTGGCTGACCTTTGCCCCTCTCCTGGCTGACCTTTGTCCCTCTCCTGGCTGACCTTTGCCCCTCTCCTGGCTGACCTTTGCCCCTCTCCTGGCTGACCTTTGCCCCTCTCCTGGCTGACCTTTGCCCCTCTCCTGGCTGACCTTTGCCCCTCTCCTGGCTGACCTTTGCCCCTCTCCTGGCTGACCTTTGCCCCTCTCCTGGCTGACCTTTGCCCCTCTCCTGGCTGACCTTTGCCCCTCTCCTGGCTGACCTTTGCCCCTCTCCTGGCTGACCTTTGTCCCTCTCCTGGCTGACCATTGTCCCTCTCCTGGCTGACCCTTGTCTCTCTCCTGGCTAACCTTTGTCCTTCTCCTGGCTGACCCTTGTCACTCTCCTGACTGACCTTTGTCCCTCTCCTGGCTGACCCTTGTCCCTCTCCTGGCTGACCTTTACCCCTCTCCTGGCTGACCCTTGTCCCTCTCCTGGCTGACCTTTGCCCCTCTCCTGGCTGACCTTTGCCCCTCTCCTGGCTGACCCTTGTCCTTCTCCTGGCTGACCTTTGTCCCTCTCATTGCTGACCATTGTCCCTCTCCTGGCTGACCTTTGTCTCTCTCCCGGCTGGCCCTTGTCCCTCTCCTGGCTGACCTTTTTCCCTCTCCTGGCTAACCTTTGTCCTTCTCCTGGCTGACCCGTGTCCCCTCCTGGCTGACATTTGCCCCTCTCTTGGCTGACCCTTGTCCCTCTGCTGGCTGACCATTGTCCCTCTCCTGGCTGACCCTTGTCCCTCTCCTGGCTGACCCTTGTCCCTCTCCTGGCTGACCTTTGCCCCTCTCCTGGCTGACCTTTGCCCCTCTCCTGGCTGACCTTTGCCCCTCTCCTGGCTGACCCTTGTCCTTCTCCTGGCTGACCTTTGTCCCTCTCATTGCTGACCATTGTCCCTCTCCTGGCTGACCTTTGTCTCTCTCCTGGCTGACCTTTGTTCAGATTTATCGACGACGTGGTGTCTTTGAATAACAATAGATTTATTGACCAAGTCGATTCTCTCTACATTCTACATAGAGAGGGCCTGTCATTCTCTACTGAACAAAGGAAGAACAGCTGACACTAATATTGGTATAGCCTTGTTCTATCACCTCTCTTTTATAAACAATATTCGCTCTAAGATATTCCTGTTATTTCTTTTCAAGTTCTCAATATTTGATAAATATATTGCTTGTAAATAAATTTAATAAAACGTCGACGGTGTTTAAGTGAAAGTATGCGTGTATATGGATGTATAGGAGATAACTACTTTAACAGGAACATAACTCTAAAGCCTGTTTATAGCGGAGTATTACTACCTTTAGATAATATCTGCATCGAGCAATATGAATGATATATTTACTATAATGTAAATTACATGTACCGGGAATTCAAAAATACTGGAAAATGGAAAAAAGAAATACGAACCCCTCACCAAGTAGTACTAGCAATCAGCGCGCGTTTCTTACAATGATTGAACGATATTTTTGCAATTGGCATACCGATACCAACGGTAAAATATCTTACATACATACACCATGACTCCGACCGTGAATTACATTTTATCATTTACGTATCGGTTAGTGTTTCCCAATTATTGCTGCATCTGTGTGTGTATCTCGACACTGATACTGTGATAATGGCGAGGCAACAATCTTGGTCTTTTTAACGATTGTTTTAAAGCTTTTCACAGTGTTATTTGAAGCAGACTTCTAAGCGTCAAACTGACCAATAAACCCCGTTTGGACACAACTTCAATTCTGATTTGTTTCATGAAACTTTAATGTAACTATATATGATCAGAAATAGTTCGTGTTAGGGATCGGGATTGTCGACGTCATTTCTGTTACGTTCGCGGTAAGGTAGATATTGTTGAGAAAACATATATGTTACCTAATTGTAGCATAAAAATAATGCACGTTATAAAGGATTTTAAAGTCACATTTCTTCTTTGTTTTTCTACATATGTTTTTAACAATTCAGGACGGATTTTAATTCTTTTGACTTTAAGTCTGACAACCGAATCCGTAATTGGCGATATGGCCATATGATGACGTAAATATTTACCTTTATTGGCGTTTTGCTTTGACTAACCAAATTTTTAAATCGGTGCTTCCATCATTTGTATGTCTAGTGAGTATTCCTTTGTTTTTCTATATTGACGGCACAGTGCTAGTTTATAAACAACACGTTTCATTAATAATGATATATATTTCTGATTATATTACTGCCTGCGTGACACCGACGATTCTAGAAAAGATGTCAGCTTCCAACTCCAAGATTTGAGAAAATTATTTTGTTTTACTCGTTAACAACCTTACATAGCTGCTCAGTGTATGTTATGGTAGACAATGCAATGGTCTGACTTTTCAATGATAGGTCGCTATAGCTACTCAGTGTATGTTACGGTAGACAATGGTCTGACTTTTCAATGATAGGTCGCTATAGCTACTCAGTGTATGTTACGGTAGACAATGGTCTGACTTTTTAATGATAGGTCGCTATAGCTACTCAGTGTATTGAAGCGGTTGATTCTTTGTTAATTACATTGTTCAATAAATGATCGTTAGTATAGACTTGCTTTAGTTATTTCTTTGTAATTAGGAAGTAAGAGTAGTTTTGATTGGCTAATGAAAGAAGGCATTTCATTGGATGGCTAGGTATATAAATAGAGGTTCCATCAGATGAAAAGTTTCTCTTGCTCTGGCGATCGAAGAAGAAGGAACAACTCTAAAAAGGTAATCAGTGACCAAGCTGTATAAGTTTGGGCCTAGCTGCATAAGCTAGGGTTCCACTGTATTCCTTTATAGTACATGGTCAAAATAAATTGTGTTACAGTATAGTGTGCATAGTCACAGGGTATCACAGTACAGGAGGACGTACTGTTGATACAGGGTGTCAGGTACCAAGACACAGGGTTTACCAAGGCATAGGTTTTATAGTGGCTAGCTATAGGGTGACTTGGTCAAACGGCAGTCGCGGTAAAGGGTGACGTGGTCAAGGTGTGTCGCGGTAAAGGGTGTACACAGTCACGGGTGTCGCAGTAAGGGGCTATTTACTGTTGATACAGGGTGACGGATATATTGTGATACAGTTGTTTTAGTTGGCTTTTTGACTATATTAGTGTTAGAGGTATATTAATGTAAAATATCTACCGGGTGTAGATTAGGTAATAGTTATTTGAGTCAGAAAGACGGCCATTATTTTGTATATATTGTCGGCACTTGTTTGTTACAACAATTACTGGGTCCAAGAAAGAACTTGGTAACGAACTGTAGGCACGCATCCGTAACATATATTTTGGTGGCAGCGGTGGGATGGACGAAGCAGATAAGCAAAATACTGCATTTGTAACCAGAAGTGGGTTTTACCATTTCAACGTGATGCCGTTTGGACTTTGCAACAGTCCAGCGACATTTGAACGCCTGATGGAGACAGTGCTGGCTAAGCTTCATTGGGAAATATGCCTGGTGTACATTGATGACATCATTGTTTTAGGGAAAACGTTTCATGAAGCAATAGTCAACTTGGAAAAAGTGTTCGACAGACTACGTCAGGCAGGACTAAAACTCAAGGCCAAGAAATGTCATCTATTTAGAAAACAAGTGTTATTCCTGGGTTACATTGTTTCAGGAGATGGCATATCAACAGACCCAGAAAAGGTGAAAGCAGTGAAAGAATGGCCACTGCCTGTGACGCAGACAGATATGAGGTCATTT